TATAAAATTATTTGTCTGTAATTTTTTTTTTCGTGACGTAAGCAAGATAAATAAAAAATAGGGAATTTAAAAACCTACAAATAGGGGTCGTAAAAAAGTAAGCAAACAAGGCTGGAGATACTGTAGACATTATTTACTCAAACTGCAAACCTCTAGAATTATTATGTTTTTAGCTTATGTAAAATATAGAAGAAACAAATCCACTTTTCAATACCCCTACGACCTTCGCAGTGCCTTATTTAGTATTCTACAAAAGGTTTGGGTGCAATATACTCAGTTGTTTTTGTTGTAGGCTGGCAAGAGAATAATAAGAAGAATTACAAACGGATCCTTTTGAGCGAATTGTCTTTTCTTAGCAGTCAATAGAAAATGTACTTGATAGATCGATCAGACAGCGTATTCATGATGAAATTTGGTTGAATGGACGGCAATTGCCTGTTGTAGAAACACGAGTATAAAGGACGACCTTTCGAAAGTCTTCCGCCTTTCTTCTTCAATGTTGTTTGAACTGAATCTTTACTGTTTAAAGTGTTTTTGGTCCGAACGTTATACTTAGGTTTTGTGCAATTCCTTACGATCCCTATTATGAACCACTGTCTTAGCTCATATTATAATAAACCTCAGTTATTGCAAACACTTGAGATGACTAATAACTAGTACAATTGCGACATCTTTACAATTTTGCATGTCACATTCAATGTACCCCAGTAGCTCAGTGGTAAGTCTGATGGCTTATAATGCTAAAAACCGGATTTCAATACCTGTGGCGTGAACTGCAAAAATACTCCATTGTGTAACTTTGTGTTTATCAACAAACAAACATATTTTGTATGTTAATATCATCTGTTTTATCATTAAAAAAGAGCTAACAATAACTACTTAACTTTTAATTTCAGTTTAAAAATTGCAAGATTTAACTAACCCTGGAAAACCTTTCAACCAGAATGCTATTCATTTGTGTGTTTTGTTTTTTTTCACTTACAAAACAATATATTATACAAATCATACATACGTACGTCGAAATGCCGACACAACTTATTCACACCTCAGATGCAAGGTTGCTCCTATGTCTAGTGCGTTACGGCTTCAAGCATCAAACCATCTAGACTCAACATCGAACATTGTATCTTTTTTATTTTGAGACCAGCATTTCCAAGCAATTACATGCTTGAAGTACTTTAGGAAATAGTCCATGTACCCTCTTGTTAACCCCATGAAAACCAATAGATTAACGTTGATACAGTGGTTATGCAAGCAGTTGGTTACTACCTTCATGTAGCTGAAACATGGACAATGTCATTGGAACGTCATCACCATCATACACCTTATTGTAATGTCCAGAAATATGTGTGCCCTTATGAACACAATGCCTTCGGGCAAAGACCACAAAATGCAATAATTCATAAGAATACACACCATCATTATATTCTGCATTAACTTCAGCTGTCAGATGTTTTCTTGGAATATCATCAGATCATCTCGCCAGCCTGGAAAACTTCTGGTTATTCCTAGGTTCGCTAGTCTTCAGGCAAGATGCTGCAATTTATGGTGTTGCAGTTCATCTTCGAGGGCTTCATTTATCATGTAACCCTCAACAATTGTGGGCCACAAGCTACTTTAAGAATCATCTGGAAAAAGACTAGGTTGGCCGATGTTCATCACAAAATTTCATACATACCACCACAGCCAGTTTCAGGATAATTCAGACCAGCCATCATCATCGTGACCCATTTTTACCATCACTTACTCCCGTATATAATGTAGAGTAGGAACAGCAGCCAATGGTTCCCTTGCAACCATTAATCATGAGGCCAGATCAAAGACGCCGGTATAGCTCTTACCATTGCCTACGAAAACCCCCGGACAAGAAGAAAGCTTCAGTTTCACTTCAATTACATCCTTCTTCTTTCCATTGTAATTTTACATGGTCTCAGGAAATAACTTTATACAATCATAGTTTGTTAAACTTATCAAGAAACAAAGAGTTAAACAGAATGAAGAAACGTGTTTCAAATAAATTATGGTCATATCATCAAAATATTATTTTAAACTTCGTCTGTGGTGTTCAGGTACACTAACGTCCAACAAATGAGTAATAAATTCCACAAAAATAAACAATCGATAAAGAAAATTTTCACATAAAATAAATAGAGCACAGACGAGTGAAATGTTTCTCAACTGTTTGGCTTTAAGAAATGTTTCATTTGTGGCTGCTAGAGTCGGTTAGAACCACGTCTTGAATTTGGTTCAATATCCTTTGGTCAGGAATTACCAACGTCAATTTCAAAGGTCCTACTCAGATTATATCTAAGGGTTTAACCACCCTGTTCATATTGAACAGTGGAGACTACTACAAAATTCAAAAGATCGAGAATTGTAGGAATGATCCTCGCGCCAATTAAAGTAACACAGCAACTTGAACAAAGAGTATAAACTTATTGAATGAGCCCTGTAGTGTGTAAGCTGCCCGAAACAATAATTCGCATAAGTGGAATTGGCTAGAGCCTGTAATTCATGATCAATTACTCATTCAATTTATACAAGGGAAACCTTTGGGCATCACAAATATTTTAAACTCCACTATATAGAAAATTGTTGTTTCGTGTCAGTTTTTGTTTGAAGTAAAGCATAAAACTACACAATGGGCTATCTGTGCTCTGTCCACTACGAGTATCGAACCCGGTTTCTAGCGTTGTAAGTCCACAGACATACCGCTATGCCAATGGGGGACTTTTTCAATCTTTAAAATGATTTTGAAAAAAGTAATAAAATCCTTTCGGTTATGTCTTGTCATTTTCGCAGTCTCAAGTAATTGAAACAACTGTCTTTTAAGTATAACATTTCCCATGAACCATTTAAAACAAAAGCTATTGAAATTAGTAAAACTAGAAATATGTGTTAATTTCTAAAAAAAATATACTTATACTAAGAAAATTGTTTCTTACATTTTTAAAATTTTTATCAACTACTTAGCAATCTATTTCAGAGATTTCACATGCAAAGTTTTTAGTAAATATAAATATTACTATAGTCAAAAACCCTTTTATGTCCACTTGAACTGCTTTATTTTATATTATGTTGTTAGTACATCACATATAACAAAAGTAGTTTTTGAAAGGACTTCGTCATCTTCCTGTATCCAGGTTTAATAATGGGATCGATTTAGACATAATGCCACTTGAAAAAGTTACACTATCAGTCCCTTTGACCTTGTAAATGACGCCACGACTAATTACTTCTTCTATACGACACGAAATACTGATTTTGAGATCTTGAATAGATGACTTTAAGATCGAGTAGACAAATAACAAAATTTTAACATTTATTTGATTCATCACATAAAGTACACAACGGACTACCTTCGCTCGGTCTATCGCGGAGAATCGAACCCTAGATTTTAGTGTTACAAGTTTGTACTTACCACTGACCCACCGGGGGAACTAAAGTTATACATGCGTTCGAGCATATAAGTGATAAATACATTATCAAATCGTGCAGTTACACTAAATGTAAAAATATGTCACAATAATTCTATTGCAAAAGTAATGATTAAAAACACTTATAGTTCTATCTTTGATAGTCGCCTAATCTCTTAGTATTCAGTGTAAATCTTTGCACGATTAGCAATGGATACAACAAATATTTTTTATAATTCTTTTAAAAAGGCTTAACCAGTACTTATGTAATTCTTAAATCTCAGGATGCGACTTATTAATGCTAAACTCACTTATAAGGGAATTTTTTTATAAGATACTTTACTTTCAGTTGCACGTGACATCACGCAAGCACACACACAAGAACAATTCTCCTAATTATGCTTTATCTAAACCCGTTTGGGATTCTATTAACAATTAAAACGGACTACTTGAATATTAGACAAGTAACAAATTATATTTCGCTGTTTTCTACACGAACTATTTTTTTAATACAATTTTTGTATATTTTTCTATATATATATATATATATATATATATATATATATATATA